ATCCCCAACCTGGAAGTTAGAGCCTCGCTGCCCCGCCACTCCCGGATACAGGACAGAGGACCGGAACCGGGACCGTGGCCTCTCAGTAGGGGCTGAATGAGCAGCCTCTGCAGCCACATGGTAGGAGACCTTTCCCGCTCACTCTTCGAACTCCAACCCGGGCCGGGCGCCCACCAGAAGGACAACTGGAAGCGTGGCAGGTAAACCAGGCTGTGGCCCTGCAGTGCCATCGCTATCCTCACTTGAACTCTGGCTCCTCTGTTCCTTGATGGCCCCTCCGCATGGTGCTCCACTGCAGTCTTAAAAAGTTTCTGCCCTAAGCTCAGGGAGCCGGTACTGAGGTACAGGTAGGAGCAGGTGCAGCCTCTGCTGGGTGGAGGACATATGCCCTGGGGATCCAGAGTCCTGAGTGACTGACACCAGCCCTGAGGATGTGATTTGTCCTCCCACACCTGCTAACACAGCCCTCTGAGGTTTACACAGGGCTGCTGAAGATCTTTATCTCCTCTTCACTTTATTGGCAGGAGCTGGGGCCTCACCAGTGTCACAGAGCTGGAGGGGAAGCACAGCAGGGCCCAGGTGATCCCAGTCTCCAATCTCAGGAGTCCTTGAGAGCCTCAGAGTCTGAGATTCTGAGCTGTTGGAACTTGTCACTTCCTCCTTTGATGAAGAGAGGGATGGCGTGGAAGGACCTGACACAGAGATTGGACCAGCCCAACATTAACAGAGCCAGGACCTCAGGTCAGGAACTGAGCTCAGCTCCAGGCTCATCTGATGTCCTCCTGACAGCCTGAGGATGGAGACCTTATCTCCAGTCAGAGGCATGGCAGCTGGCAGGGACTGGCCCCAGCTGACCACGGTTTTCCAAGTGCACAGCTGGGAATTTGGTCTTCTTGCTGCCTTCCCCTGCTGTCTCCTCTGGATCCCCCGATCATCTACTCCCGGTACCAAAAACTCCTGTATCCTTGAAAATTCCTAATACCATGAAGGAGTGAAAATGCATAACAATGTGATGAATCACGTTTTACTTCCTACACTAGCAACGAATGAAAGCTAAGTGTAGCAAGGGTGTAGGGGCACAGGCACATTTGTGGACCAGGTGTGACCGTAAGCTGGGTTCAGTGGTTTTTTGGAGGAAAATTCGTGAACATTTAAAGAAACTTCTGAAGTGATTTATCCCACAGAAGGAGAAGTAGAGAAGTAGAATTCAACTTGTAAGGAATTGTCCAATAAGCTGGTGCACATGGATATGTGGACACACGATACATACAAGGGTATTTAGTATAATGCTGTTGGAATTAGCAAAGGCAAAGTCAGGATGGGATCTAACCAACTTCCCCTAGGCAGCAACAGTGAATTAACCTGTGGCTTACCCATGCAGTAAAATACAATACCCTTGTTTAAAGGAAGATCAATCTGAACGTACTGCCATAAAACATCTAATGTGATCTGTGTTAGCTCCAAAATTTTAAAAAGCGATTGTGCATTGAAATGCATTTAATAAGGCAAGACTGATGGAGGGATCAAAGGCTCCTTTTGGATGTATAGAGTTCACATTCCCAAAACTGTGAAATTCATGTTGCTGGCCTTGTCTACACTGGTCATCTACACATTCTCTCTTCAGGGCCACTGTCCTGACACAGCCATTCTTCTAGCTGCCTCAGGTAGGTCCACTCACTATAAACTATTGTAGAAGTCAGCTGTGTTATTTTTGAGAGGTGAAAATGTTACCGCTTTTTGAATTTAGTATGAATTTGTTGAAAGAAAACATGCAAACTCTCATGGTTCCTATAACCTTGTTTTGTCCTCCCTCTTTTTTGGTATTATAGAAGGAGCCTTAGCTCTCTTGGGAGAAACGTCAATCACTCTGAGAAAGTCCTGGCGGTCTGCACATTTTATTTATAATATGTCCTTATTGCGCACCCCACCACCAATCTCAGTTTCCAAAGCCAACTCACAACAAGAACTTTACACCTTTCATGCTGAAGGAAGGAGCCAGCCTGTGATCCTGCCCGTGGGATGCAGAGGGGACACACGGGTGACAGTGGAAGACACTGACTGCAAGCACCTTGGTTAACCGCTTCCTGCCACTCTCAGGGCAGAGGAAGTGAAAGTTGCAAAAAAAGCATTGGACAGCTTTTTCACTGGCTGTTTGTTAAACCGATCTCCAAGGAACACGTTTAACAATGTAAACATAGAGTTACCTTTTTGTTTTGTTTTTTTTTTTTGGACAGAGTCTTGCGCTGTCGCCCAGGCTGGAGTGTATTGGTGCAATCTCGGCTCACTGCAACCTTTGCCTCCCGGGTTCAAGCAGTTCTCCTGCCTAAGCCTCCCGAGTAGCTGGAACCACAGGCGCACGCCGCCATGCCTGGCTAGTGTGTGTGTGTGTGTGTGTGTGTGAGTGAGTGAGAGATGGAGTCTCGCTTTTGTCCTCCTGGCTAATTTGTGTGAGTGTGTGTTTGTGTGTGAGTGAGAGATGGAGTCTCACTCTTGTCCTCCCGGCTAATTTGTGTGAGAGAGAGAGAGAGTGTGTATGTGTGTGTGTGTGTGTGAGACAGAGAGATGGAGTCTCGCTTTTGTCCTCCTGGCTAATTTGTGTGAGAGAGAGTGTGTGTGTGTGTGTGTGTGAGAGAGAGATGGAGTCTCGCTTT